GCCACGCGTGATAGGCGCTGGCGACGGCTTGGGCCATTTTATCGACAAAACCTCACTTTGCCTCGACAAATATGAACTTACTGAACATGAAATAAGCTAAACTGAATATTTAAACATCAACAGTTTGAGAGTTGCCGGGAAAATAAAAAGTAATTCGGTCATGATCTTACTTAGGCATGATCGGCCTTAAGCACGGCTTTACTTTAAATTCTCGAACATAGTTCGAACATTTAACCTTAACATGACCTTATCAACAAGAATATAAGCTGAAGAAGGAGTTACCTCTCGAAACGTTCGACTGAAATGGACGATGGGTGTAATCCCTTGACCTCGCGTACGCCGTGCGATGCCTTTTCCTTACGTTGCTACGAGAAAATTGGGGAAATAAGAGGGAATTTGCTTGAACTTAGTGGCTGCTGAAAGGGGCTAATATATGCTGAGTATGTTGGTTATGCCTTATAGGAAAATTGAGGGAAAATTTTTGGTTCAAATGCTCCTTATATATACACGGCCGAGAGGGGATGTTTAATGACATGTTTGGTGCGTGGCCATCCTAAGCTTTTGCCACTTGCTCCCTCACAAACTAAGCTTGAATGACTAATCCTCTTCCTTTTATTCTCCTTAACACACGTGTATTTGCCTTAACATGAAGAACTCTCACAAAAATTGGAAGTTACAACCCGTACGGCATTTTGGAATTTTAGCCACGGCTTAAGACATTGATTGTGACTAATTAACATTAATCACTTAATTTATGTTTAATTATTCAATTAAACATAATGCTTAATTACCAAAATTATTCCGAACGTAAACGGTACGTCGAAATTAAATTTCGGTAATCTTGACTGAACATAATTAATTCCAACAACAATAATCGATAACGTTATTATATCGGAACTAAAACATAATTTATACCGATAAAATATCGGGACATTACAGTAGTTGAGATGTAAAAACTATCTACTAAATTCTTGCATGGTTACTGTAAGCATTGTTGCTATTTTATTGTAATTTCGTTGCCTAAATAGTGTACCAAAGATGCATATTTAGCGTAACTAATATGCATATTTATAAAGAAATTAAAAAAAAGAAATTTTCATTACATAATAATAATGATAATTAAAAAGTGTTCATTCATCAACCAGCACTGCAAACTCAAATTCAAACTCAGGTTCATCTTACAATACCCATCAAACTCAAATTCAAGATCATTACAATTTAATTTCAAACACTGTCACTACTTTCATCATCGGACATGCAAGATCCAAT